AGTTTGGAGGAGCACTGTTTGCTGAATGGATCTAGCTAGATGAAGCATATAGTGAATTGACAAAATCCCTCCAATTTGATGCCCAGTAACCGTGATTGTAGAAGTGCGCAGGCGGCACGTGAGGGTGGCCGTATATCATCATTACTCCGAGGTCCAACGGACCCAGTTCTCCGATCTTACCCAGCATTCAGCCACAATGGCAACGGCGAATAAAGATCAGAAGGCCAAGGTTCGCTCTCCGATTACATTCTTGTCGGATCTCTGAAACTCACCAATGGACAGCCCAGCGCCCTCCGCTCCATCCTTGCGGGGTCCACTGCTGGAGCCGTGGAGATCGGTAAAGAGCTCAATAATCCCCCAGTCCAGGTAGCTAGCTAACTTTTGCACGCTCCAGCAATCACCTATCCTGCTGAATGTATGCCATTCTATAGCTTTCAACAATTCCACGCTAAGGTTCTTCACTAGTCGCAAAGACCCGGACGCAACTCAATCGCCAACTTGCCCACGGCAAGAAGCTCCCGTGGCCGCCATTCGGAAGCCAGTGGTACGCAGGATGTACAACACTGATTATTGGGAACTCGCTTAAGGCGGGTATTCGTGCGCCTCCCTTTCCGCAATCGATGAGCCATTGGCACATGGACTGACGAAGAGATCACACAATAGGATTCGTCGCTTTCGATGCCATCAAATCCGTTCTCCAGGATGAGAACGGCAAGATTTCGGGACCAAGGACGGTCGTGGCTGGCTTTGGTGCTGGATTCACCGAGTCTCTTCTAGCCGTCACCCCCTTTGAGAGCATCAAGACTCAACTGTCAGCTGCTTCCATGTTCCTCTTTGGCGAAGTTCTTGGCTCTAATCATACATGGCTTATAGGATTGATGACCGCAAGTCTGGCAACCCTCGCATGCGCGGTTTTTTGCACGGTAGCAAAATCATCTTCCAAGAGAGAGGTGTTCGAGGCTTCTTCCAGGGCTTCGTCCCCACCACAGCAAGACAGGCTGCTAATTCAGCTACCCGGTTCACGGCTTATACGACATTGAAGCAACTTGCAGAGGGCTATGTGGCGCCGGGCGAGAAGCTGGGTACTGCCAGTACATTTGCCATTGGAGGAATCGCGGGTTTGATCACTGTGTAGGTCATTTTGTGTCCAAGCAGTAGGATTCTTAGCTCTAACATTCATACAGCTATGTGACGCAACCCCTGGACACGGTGAAGACAAGGTTGGCAACCCAAATAACAAAAACCCCTTGGTATATACTAATATTCTCCTTAGAATGCAATCTCTTGAGGCCAGCAAGAACTACAAGAACAGCTTTGTCTGCGCAGCTAGAATCTTCAAGGATGAGGGTATTTTGACTTTTTGGTCAGGAGCTGTTCCACGACTCGCGAGATTGATTATGAGTGGAGGAATTGTGTTCACCATGTCAGTTTTGATATCTCAAATTGAGGATTATGGCTAACTGCTAGATAGGTATGAGAAAGCTATGGATCTACTGGATATTGCAGACCCAGAGCGGAAGTATCTCTAGATTGTTCTTGTTCAATAGATTGTTTCCTTGCTTGCCTGCTGTATCGTACATGGTATCTCTTTATTTTATTGTACAGAAAAAATACATGCGGATTTGACACTGTTATGGGCCTACTTTTGTTCTTTGGCCTGATCCTCGGCTACCATGGCCTCGACTTCGCGATCAGCCATCCAGGTGCGTACACTCTCCATCACAGTATCCAGCCCATCACCACCATCGAGGACACCGTCAAGGTTATGGATCGTAATGCCAGTGCGGTGGTCGGTGCAACGACTCTGGCCGAAATTATAGGTTCGGATCTTGTCACCTCGGCCCATTTTAGCCACTCCGCCCAGAATGCCTCGTCTGAGTTGCACAAGTTCCTGCTCTCGAGCTTCTTGTCTGGCTTCAGCCAGCTTTGCCCGAAGCACCTGCCATGCTTTTCTCCGGTTGGCCTGCTGGGACCGTTCGTCCTGCATGGAGACCACGGTATTCGTGGGTATATGAGTTAGTCGAATTGCGGACTCCGTTTTGTTCACATGCTGCCCGCCAGCACCGCCAGCTCTCATCTTTTCAACGCGAACTTCTTGAGGGTCAATATAGTAGTCGCTGGTCGGATCTTCAAAGTTCAGAGCACTGTCCATCTCGCTACCATTTTCTGGGAAGCTTGGCAATACCATCACACTAACAGCACTGGTGTGAGTACGACCCTTTGTCTCTGTTGCGGGCACTCTTTGAACCCTGTGTACCCCCGATTCCGTTCGCAGGAGATCATATGCTCCTTCGGCTTCGATTTCTATCACCGCTTCGCTTAGACGGTCTTCTGATGGCCCAACCTCTGTTTCCTGCTTCAGAATGGTTGGGCGGAGGCCTCTTCGAGTGCAAAAAGCGATGTACATCCGTAACATCTCATATGCAAACAAGCCTGCCTCGTCGCCGCCCGCACCTGGGCGGATTTCAAGCAGACATGGGAGATCTGCAAATGGATGCCGGGGAATCAGGGACTTTTTCAATCGATTCGAAATCGTTGGTAGGACATTTTGACTGCTTTCGAGGTCTTCAATTGCCAGTGACCGCAGCTCCGCATCCGTACTGGGATCGTCCAGCAAAGATTTGAGCTCACTTATGGACTTTAGACAATGTGTATTAGGGAGAGGGTCAGATGCTCGGTTGATTGACGGCACATACATCATTGGCATTGACCCATTCTTTTAGGACATTGGCAATCGGTGCCAGCTCTCCAGCTCGCTTGGCAGTTTTGGCATCAAAGGACTTGCCCAATCGGTCAGAAAGTTTGGTGTGCTCAGCTGTGAGTAGACGAGCTCTAGTTAAGAGGGCTGGTGACAGGGCGGATTCCGATGCTTTGGCACGCATTAGCTGTATTGAATCGCGACAGCATATGGGGGCCAGGTACCGGTGTTGATGGCGCGCAAAGGCGACAGTGTCAAACCAAGACTAGCTGGCCGCAGGATACATGGGCGGCATATCGACTGAAAGCCGAGCATACTTTGAAGGAATGGATGCCAATAGACAGAGGAATTCGGAGGGTTTGGAGTTCGTGAAACAATCCATGTCACATGACGGTAACGGAACATTACACTGTAAAGGCCACGGATTCGAGTATGCGACATGCTATCCAACTTCGCCCTCCAAAGTCTCCTTTGTTCTCTTCGTTTTGGCCCATTTTGATTCTGGCTTTCAGACTATGACCTACTTCCTGCGCCCCTAGTGAGACTGATTAATCAACAATTCTACTCTAATTTACCTCGTCTCATACACCTCCGGTACTGCGCCGCATACTTCCAAGATGCTCGTTTCTTTGGAATTGCTCACAGCCTTTCTGGCATGTTTTTCCACCGGATATGCCCTTCAAATCCCACCGGACACGCCTCTTTCTGAACTGATCTCTTCTGCGAAAGCCCACCTCGCACAGGGTTCTCCTCGAGACGCCGTGGCATACTTCGACGCTGCAGTCTCGCGTGACCCTACCAACTATATCACTCTCTTCCAGCGAGGCGCGGCGTATCTATCAATTGGAAAGAACTCTCAGGCATCAAACGACTTTGATCGGGTCCTGGAGCTCAAGCCAGACTTTGAGGGCGCTCTCCTACAACGATCCCGCCTCAAGGCACGGTCCGCGCACTGGGCAGAAGCCCTGCAGGACCTCGAACGGGCTGGAAAGAAGTCATCTACTGATTACAAGGAGTTGGAGGCTGCGCGTGATGCGGCCACGTTGGCTCTCAGTGCCGAAAAGCAGGGCGCTTGGGAGAGCTGCATCTCTGAGGCAAATGTGGCCATTCTAAAAGCAAACACGGCACTATCTCTACGGCAGGCGCGAGCTCGTTGCCACTTTGAACGAGGCGAGACAGAAGAAGGTATCAGCGACCTGGCGCACGTATTGCAAATTTCACCTAGCTTGATCGAGTCTCACTTGCAGATGTCATCCATGCTGTTTTACTCTTTAGGGGACAGTGACCGTGGCCTTGCTCAGATCCGCAAATGTCTTCATGCTGATCCCGACTCGAAGGCCTGCAATCGTCTCTATAAACGTGAACGGAAGCTTGTCAAGCGATTGGAGAGATTGCATGCCGTCCTGGAGGCGCGCAAGTTCAGCAATGCAGTCAATCTCATGGTCGGGGATGCCGAATCCAGTGGATTGATTACAGACACCAAGACAGACGTTGAGGAGGCAAAGAAGGCTGGCCATATTCACCCTCTGGCGCCTAACAACCTATATATATTCCTCGTCGAGAAGACCTGCGAGGCTCTCCGTGAGGTATGTTTTACACGTCCGCTTATTTTGACTAGTTGACTGACATGTATATCAGATGCGAATGCTTAAAAAGGCTGGCCCTTATTGTTCTGAATCTCTACAACTTGTTCCTCATTCACTCCACGGTCTCCTGTACAAAGCCCAGACCGCTTTAGACGAAGATCGGTTTGAAGATGCTATACGCACGCTTGACTCGGCCAAGGAACACCACCCCAACTCTCAGGAGGTTCAATCTCTCCATCAAAAGGCTCACGCCCTCCTGAAGCGTTCGAAGCAAAAGGATTATTACAAGGTCCTGGGTGTCAGTCGGGACGCGGATGATCGAACGATCAAGCGAGCTTATCGCCAACTCACTAAACAACACCACCCAGACAAGGCACATGCCCAGGGTGTTAGCAAGGAGGAAGCAGAGAAGAAGATGGCATCTATCAACGAAGCCTATGAGGTTCTATCTGATTCGGAACTCCGGACACGGTTCGACAATGGTGACGATCCCAATGATCCTGAATCGCAGCGTGGAAATCCTTTCCAGGGCCAAGGCAATCCATTTGGTCACGGTGGTGGTCAGCAGTTCTTCTTCCAACAGGGAGGCGGACCACAGTTCAAATTTGGCGGTCAAGGGTTCAACTTTCCAGGCGGATTCCGCTAATAGTCTTTAACATTTGTCTTTTTCTTTCTCTTCTTCTGTGTAGAACATGGCGGGTTGCGGAGTTTCCCTCTTAGTGACTTTGGACACCCGCCGGCATGTATTTGAGGCTTGGCGTCACTATGAGGACATAAGTGTTGCAATGAAATACTTCTGTTATTATCATCTGTTGTCGGCGAGCTACCAAACCCTTAATGGGTTATTTGTCCAGAGGCCCCATGGCCCCGCACTCTGTGATATACGCAGGGATAATGGTAAGAGCAAGTAAAACAGTCCACGCAAAGCCGAATGTAGGCCAATCCTTAACCTACTGGTCCCTTCCTTCATCGTACTGGAGCATTTGTCAGGGGCACGTACCTGACCTGGAAGACCTTTTCTTTGTGAACGGACCCATCCTCCCGTTTATCTACCACCCAGATAAATTGGCCGTCGCTCAAAATATCCCTGGCGCTTCTACCATCCTCCGACTCCAAGGGAATGAACAATCGCCCAGGGGCACGTAGCTGGTCCACCAGGGTCGGATGAAGATTCTCGGCCGCAGCTCCGACGTGGATTGCATCGTATGGTGCACCTTCTTTCCATCCGAGGCGACCGTCACCCGTGATAAACTCGACTTTTCTGGATGCCTGCAGCTCACGGCCTTCCTCGGACTTGTTCATATTATCGCGGGCCAGGTCTGTCAGCTCGGAGATGTGATCGATTCCAATCACCTGTCCCTGGACTGCACTGCCGGATGAGTCGGTCACCAGGTTGGCGAAGACGTGGGTCAAATATCCTGAGCCAGATCCAATGTCCAACACTCGAGAGCCAGGCTTGAGGTAATCAATGAGATATTCGCATGCATGAGCATGCATGTGGGGTGCTGAGATGGTAGCTCCATGCCCGATGGGCTGGGGCGAGTCCGAGTATGGCCGAGATGGAGCGTAATGAGCTCGATCAACCTGGATCCGTTAGATAATGTTCAAGGGGATGAGGGACCTACTTACTCCTATCATGGCTTCTTTCACACGCTCATTCTGAATTAACTCGGCTTTGAATAGGTTCTCGATCAGCTCGGCGTTGGTGGAACCGGAACAGTACCATGCCATATTGATAGACGTTGTTTTGCGCCTTAATCCTACTGTCAGGGCCTTTTTTCTGGATAGACCAAGCATAAGATCATGAAGTGATGTGATGGGAGAGGATGGAGGATGTCACTGATGCATATATATATCCATGGATCATCATGTGTACGGCAATGACGACACTCCACACGTGACGGTTGTATACCTCATACGCCTTTAAATGTGTTCAGCTCTATATCATCATATCTGAACGTCATAGACCGTATAAACAAGCATACAAACGGGAGAGTGCTCACCTAGGCAGGTGGGGGAGCTATGGTGATTAGTAAGACCTTACTCCTAGCTATCAGATTGCCCAGTTGTTGACCATACTTCGTACACAATCGCCGTGGGAACAACACCCCTATCCTACGGCAACATGGACTTACCCAGTGCGCTGGAAAACCCGCATTATTGATACTCTTTCCCGGTTAAGATTGAAATGGCGGAACAAACCCCCAATGTCCGAGCGGAGGTAGATCTGATGATATTGGACTACCTCGTCTGCCTGGCCATCAGCAGACTTCTTGCCATGGTTGGAAATCCCGATATCTGCGCAGATGTGGAATGGCTCGTGGAATCGGTTGAAAGTAAGTCCACCTGAAGGTTTCTGGTTTGTATCACGAAACCACGTGTTGACTCCTCTAGCCTTCCGCTGGATTATCGAGGGCCACCAATTCGAACCTGCCCTTCCCTGGGATCTCGACCTCAAACTGCGGATCTTCCATATCGTCAATCTCTACTGCCGCTACGAGGCTCCCAGGGATCGTCGCCCCCTCCCAAATTTCACGCCCCTGTCCCACATTGCAGTTGAATTTATGCAATTTTGCCATTCCTCAATCGAGAATGTATCCAAGAAACGCTGGTTTGACCTCGGTGCCCATCTTATGGCGCATGCGATCTTGGAAGAAAAGGACCGCTTCCCGGAGCATCTCCGCAGGCTTTGTTCATGGACAACCAACGATGACGAGCTAAACGCGTACTGGGAGGTCAGCCGTGGAATGTTTCTCGAGCATATGCCACCCCCCTACGGCACCGCAGCCCCAGCAAGCCGAGAAGAGCTAGACCGGATTTTCGACGTCCAATTGCTGCACAACCGTTTGACTGGGTTCTTCGAGGATCTCATGGACGTCCTGGATGTGCCCCTACTTGTACAAGTAGAGCAGGGCCAGCTGATCGGGTTGACCCATGAGGAAACACAGCGGGTGATTGAATATTGCCAGTCCTGAAGCAAACTTCATCTACTGAAGAGGATCCGAGATGCGAGTGTATGTGACAGTACCTGCATGGCACACTGTATTGTATCCTAACGCGCACAAAGTCCAGCAGCCCCGAAAGGGCGAGCAAGAAAATCCAGGGAACCCAATAATTCGCCCAAATGGGTACTTTTACATGTTTAATTGCTTTATTCATTTCCTTCGACCCCAGGCCTGACGGCCAATACGTCAAATCGAAGACTCGACCATCTGTAGAAGACACTGTATCTATTGAACCACGAGTGAGAACAACACCCAGACTAAGCCTGCTAGAAGGCATGTCCTTAACATGGCATTTATATCTTGGAAACCTAATAATTTACAAAGGGCGCAACAGGCCGCTCTAGACATGAAAACACGCAGGGCAACAAGGGCAGTGTCGGCAGTGAATATCACCTAGCCGAGCAGCATGCGCCGGGGGTCCTCAATGTACTCCTTGACCTGTAAGAAAGTTAGTGTTTTGACCATATTTGAAGATGGAGAGTAATGACATACCTTGACCAGGAAAGTAACAGCCTCGCGACCATCCAGAAGACGGTGATCGTAGGTGAGAGCGAGGTACATCATCTGCCGGCAAATGTTAGTGAGATAGATCCCAATAAAAGTGATTTACTGGGGGAGGGGGGTCACATACCGGGCGGATTTCGACCTTGCCGTTGATGGCGACAGGCTTATCCTTGATGGCGTGAAGACCCAAGACAGCTGCAAAGAGTGTTAGACCCAATAGACACACAAGAGATGGTGGAACTTACCAGTCTGAGGAAGGTTGATGATAGGTGTACCCATCAGGGAACCAAAGACACCACCCTATTCAAGTTAGCCTTCTCTGGACATGGTCTATCTGGGAAGGGAAATTTACGTTGCTGATAGTGAAGGTACCACCGGCCATATCCTCAATAGTCAACTTGTTGTCGCGAGCCTACAGATTGATCATCCGTTAGCAAAACTGCATAAGAATACCAGCCCTGAAGACTTACCTTCTTGCCAAGCTCGGCAATAGCCTCCTCGATTCCAACGAGGTCCTTGCCCTCGGTGTTGCGGACAACAGGAGTTACAAGGCCCTTTTCAGTTGCAACCGCAACGCTGATATCAACGTAGTCACGGTAGACAATGGTGTCGCCGCCATTGGGACCCTCAATTGAGGCATTGACAGCGGGAATGTCCTTCATGGCAAGGACGCAGGCACGGGAGAAGGCGCTCATGAAGCCCAGCTTCACACCGGTCTTCTTGAGGACATCGTCCTTGTACAGCTTCCGGAATTCCATCAGAGACGACATATCAACTTCGTTGAAGGTGGTGAGAGACGCAGCAGTGTTCTGAGACTGCTTCAAGCGCTCAGCGATTCTCAGACGCATACGGTTCATCTTGACCTGAGCAGATGGAAGGTACCATGTTAGCAATGTCGGTGTAAGCAATGTGGCGAAACATGGCGAAAACATACCCGGCGTTCCTCGCGGCTCCCAAGGGCAGGCTTGGCTTCAGCGGCGCCTTGCGGCTTGGGTGACTCCTTCTTTGCGGGGGCCTCCTTGGGCTTCTCTGACGGAGGAGGCGCAGGCTTTGAGGCCTGAGTCTCCTTGGGCTTATCCGCCTCAGCGGGAGCAGGAGCGGTAGAGGACTCCTTCTTAGGCTCAGACTCCTTGGGCTTTTCAGCACCCTCGTCCTTCTTTCCTTCCGGAGCACCACCGAGCTCCAACTTAACAAGGTCCTGTCCAACGGTGACAGTGTCTTCCTCGCTCACAAGGAATTCTTTGATGGTACCAGACTCCGGGGCATTGACCGAGACATCAATCTGATCACGGAAGAAAAGAAATTAGCGTCAGCAACCCTTAGTCCCTGTCAATTCTCCCAGTATGCCAACGTACCTTGTCAGTTTCGATAGTCGCGATTTCCTCATCACGCTCGACATAATCGCCAACCTCTATATTATAATAAGCACTGGTGAACAATGGCTGATTTGAAGAACAAGCGCCATACGTTTTGAGAACTGCTTCAGGGTACCCTCTGTAATCGATTCGGCCATCTGGGGAACCTTGACGATGGAGTCGGCTATAACAAACATTGGTTAACAATACTGGACAGAGTCGCGACAAAATCGACCTTACCATAGGTTCTGAGTTGGTGGCCTCCCAGAGGAGCCATGTTGAGCGAGACATTGATGCTGTTTAATTTAATGAGCTAAATATGCTCCCACCAGGTATGATGTAGGCGCATTTTTCCTTACCCCGATGAAACCTGGAGTAAACCAGAGGCCGAACGAGGCGACACCTTTGTGCGCGTCAAAGTGGACAACCCCTTGAGGTTGCGGAACTGACTAGATGCCCGAGGTGTGGTCCTGGCCACAGCCGACAAGCCCGAAAGGCGCGCAAGAGAGAGCCGAGAAGCCATAATTGAATAATGAAAAAAAAGCAAACAATTACCGGGAAGATCGACCGGGAAGAGTGAGAAAAGAGGCTTCTCAGAAAAGAAGTTCAAGGTCTAAGGTGAAGGTCAAGCTCGGATTAGATCGGGTAACGTAAAACCGGGCTCCCTTTCGGCAGAGGACTATTCCTCTTACATCCTACGGCTGCCCACACGGACCATTGTAGCATTTCATGAACGAATTAGGAAGCCCAGAATAGTCAACCTGACGACAATCCCACTCACCCCCGTTGGAAACCCTGAACCACAGTGTCTGCAATTGTTGTCAGACTTAGATATCATAGCGAACCACCTTCTCTCGTTTATCCTTCCTTCTGACCGGAATTGGGCCCGGGACAAGACTTGAGATCTCAGCATGTCCACCTCCGCTGTTCAGTGGGTAGCCGTCCCTTCTAATCAAGAGGAATATACTGACATTTGCAGGTCGCTCTACAGGCGCTCCTTGAAGTTGGCCCTCGACTGGGCTGTCCACCGGCAGGTGTGGCGCGGACAAGCAGTCTATATCCGATCCCTTTTCGAAGCGAACAAGGACGTCCGTGATCCCCGCCAACAGCAGGTATAGGATCCAATCCCTTTCTTACTGCGCCATCTTTGACACAATTGAACAGGTCTTGTTGCGCGAAACGGAGAAGCTCTTGGAGAACTGGAAGCACCCGGATCCTTACCGGGCACCCACTGCGCCCGGCGGAAACAAATGGGAACGCAACCTGCCGGCCCGAATCCTGCCATGTACGTCGATACCTCATCTCTGGCAAGCGAAAATTGTCATGGAACACTAATATCTTTACAAATGCAGATGCGCAATCCCCAGGTGCCCACTAATGGAGAGCGGAAGTGCGAAATACAATATCAAATGGAAGACTGGGGTTTTAATCGAGAACATGAACTACGCCTAATTCATGCAGATAGGTTCGCGAATCGATACCAATAATCAGTTGATATACTTGGTGTACAATAAAGCGGAAAAAACAGACGACTTGAATCTGTACAAGTCGACGCGACAACCAAAATACAGTAGAGAACGCAAATATAAATGAGGCACGACGAAGTCAACACTTGAAGGACCTAGAGTCTTTTCATTGATTTAGGTCTGTCCCTGGGGCTAGTATCCGAAAGTTGAAATCCCTCAAACGAGCTAAGGTCGTCGGTATCATTCCATGTCCGTAGACATAATGTACAACCAGGAAATTGATGAAAAAAATAGAAAACGCAGAGCCATAACGTGCCCGTCCCATAACCCCATTATCGTGTCAAAGAACCAATCCGCGCCGGAAAAGAAAACAAAGAACCCGCGAAAACAACAGAGACACCGCTCTACAGCTCCTGGCTACCCTTACCAGCCTTGGGGGTCTTCTTAGGAAGAAGGTCTGAAAACCAGATTAGTAATTGAAGATGGGAAAGAAGTGCGGGGTAACGTACTCTGGTGGATGTTGGGCAGAACACCACCCTGGGCGATGGTGACGTGACCCAGAAGCTTGTTCAGCTCCTCATCGTTGCGGATGGCGAGCTGGAGGTGACGGGGAATAATACGGGTCTTCTTGTTGTCACGGGCGGCGTTACCAGCCAACTCGAGGATTTCAGCAGCGAGGTACTCGAGAACGGCAGCGAGGTAGACGGGAGCACCGGCACCAACACGCTGAGCATAGTTGCCCTTGCGGAGCAGACGGTGGACACGACCAACGGGGAAGGCCAGACCAGCCTTGGAGGAACGGCTTGTGGATGTCAGTATGAGATCGAAAAACGCGTGGGTAAACAACTTACGACTGCGCGTTCTTGCTGCCGCTAGCCTTGCCGCCGGACTTTCCGCCAGTCATTTTGATGGATGGGTTTTTGAAGGGGGGTTTGAAAAAAGGGTAAAGTGTCGAAAGATGATGAGTGAGTTAAGGAGAAAGTCGCAAGAGCAGGTGGGAGAGCGTGTGGAAGCGGAGGACCTTTATAAGGACGCGGTGAGGGTGACGTTGGGCGGCATCAAGAGGCATCCCAGATCACGCACTCGCTTAGAGGGCGCAGCCAATGATCAGTCAGATCAGACATTCCCATTCGGGTAAGGTTTGGTAATTTAGATCTATTACCATACCATACACTCATTTTGATGTGAATCTGGGCCACTTTCCCCGCCTTAAGACGCGTCAACCCCTCTTTAATCATACAAATCATACCACAATATTACCGTATTGAAATTCTGCCTCCTTTGCACCCCCCAGGATCAACTGCCTGTTGGTGCGCGAGTATAAAGACCGCGCCTCCCCTCGTCACCGCGTCTCACTTACTTTTCCTCCCCCATTCCATCTCTGCTTCCCATCCACACGCTTCCTTCATCATCCTTTGATCTTTCAAACTTCATCTTTTTACCCACCCTTTTAAAACTACATTCGAAATGGCTCCCAAGGCTGCTGAGAAGAAGCCCTCCACTGGTGGCAAGGCCCCCGTTGGCGGCAAGGCCCCTGCTGAGAAGAAGGAGGCTGGCAAGAAGACTGCCACCGCTGCCTCTGGCGAGAAGAAGAAGCGCGGCAAGACCCGCAAGGAGACCTACTCCTCCTACATCTACAAGGGTGAGTGATATGCGCGTTGTTTTTTTTGGATTTTGCTGGGCGCATTTGTACTGATCCCATTCTAGTCCTCAAGCAGGTCCACCCCGACACTGGTATCTCCACCCGTGCCATGTCCATCCTGAACTCCTTCGTCAACGGTATGTTTTGTTCTCCAAGGTCGCGTCGGCGCGTCTCAGTCGGCTCATATTCTGACTTTGAATTTCAGACATCTTCGAGCGTGTCGCTACCGAGGCCTCCAAGCTGGCTGCTTACAACAAGAAGTCCACCATCTCCTCCCGGGAGATCCAGACCTCCGTACGCCTCATCCTCCCCGGTGAGCTTGCCAAGCACGCCGTCTCTGAGGGTACCAAGGCCGTTACCAAGTACTCTTCCTCCGCCAAATAAGCGGGTTCCTTACGTTTTCTTTTGAGCTTGCTTTGTTTTTACTGCCTCTTGATCTGTTATGGGCTCTGAGGCGGTCGGTTATGGGTGTTTTGCGGGTTTCTAATGCGTCATGGGATGGCTTGAATTTTCTTTTCCCCCGATGGGCGATTTTCTTTGATGGTTACCGATATGTGAATGCGGTGTAACATAACTCGGGTATGGGGCAGGCACGGATTGACCTCCCCTACTAGAACGCGAAATTCCAAATGCGTGATTGCATTGCATCATGATTCTATCTTTCCAACTAGTTCTGTACGAGCGAGGGGCCTTGTGTAGCTACAGCAGCTTCGGGATGCCAAACTGATATCCAACTTGATAGGTAATTCCAATTTTATTCCAGTGCATCTGAGTCATCCAGCACTTCCACTTCATCAAGCGCCCCTGCGCGACCATGGCCATGATCTGGCTGGACGTGTCCAGGGAAGATGTGCACGATCTGTCGCCCAGGAGTAGATTCAATTTGTTGCTTCCAGTCAGCCCAGTCATCCTCATCTCTGATGAGGAATCCGATCAGCATGCTGGGGTCCATGTCCTTGATGTGGATTCTCCGAAGTCGGCTGGTGTAATAGCTATCAAGTTCCTCTGAAGTGTAGGGTTCATCAGGTCGATATGGTGTTGCGGGTCGAGTAGAGTGGGGATCGAGGAAGAACAGGTGAGAATCTTGAGATCCTACAAAGTAGTGGGATGCAGAAGGGCGCCCGCTTGATGTTTGTGAAGTGTTAGTAGAGGCGCCTTATGTCTAGATGATTGCATTTGGACCTACCCTGCCACACCAACTGATTGGGGGTATTGCAGTGCAGCTCGTAGTCCGTCCCAATACACCGGTGTGATATGATCAATCCCCAATCTGATTCCTAGGAGGATAAGCGTTGGCTGGATGCGGCCAGTCATGTCTCGCGCAACTTGTGTAAATTTATCTTCATATACATCGGATGAGTCGTTGGTAACGTATACCCTAAGCTTGGGTGATTCACATTGGGTTGAAAGTAGCCTGTCTGCTCTCAGTATCAAGCGATTTGCTTTGTTGTATCACTTACTGTATACATCTGGCAGTTGCCGACGGTCCAAACCACTCTCCTGGGTATTTCCCGCATGACTCTGCGCCGCAGTTCACAAATCGATGTATTGAGAATAGAGCATCTGGATGATCGGCGAACATTGAAATCAACTTCGACTCCTCCTCTGGTCTGTCTCCCCTGCGCCAGTCTGGTGTGCGAATGTTAACTCTGGTTTTTCCCTGTATATCAAGCTTTGTCTCTCACCTCTCCCTAGCAATAAGATCGCGAACGTGTTTGCCAGAAGGCTTTGCCCGGATCTAATCATGCAGCCCCACCCGGTATCAGATGTGAAGCCCTGGGAGTCCATGAGCTGACTCCGAAGCCGTACACTTAGCGTCATAGAGGACGCCGCTTCTGGTGATTTTGCTCGTGGTATCGGTGTGAAGTTTGATCGGTATGTCATCCACTGCCTCGATCCAAAATCAGAGAGAAATGCTTCCGGCCAGGCTTTCCCTGTTGTTTCACTCGATATGCCAGCTTCTGCGGACTGCCTTGTCGGACCATCTTCTTTGACTGTTAGAAACAAGTGGCGTGTATTCGGCACTCAGGTCTCCACCGACTCATCGGACAGGTCTGGTTAGGACTTACCGGTGATTTGCGGGGTCGCATACTCTCTACCCAGGCACCATATCGACGCCGTGGGTACATCATTCTGGGGTTCTGGATCCCAGAAGTATTGCACTATGCGTTTGCATTTTTCCATGTCCACCGTCATCGCTGTTGTGGTTTGTAGATGGTGATGAGGGGGGCTTCGAGACGGTGTGGGGGGATGATCGGAGGGGATATATATATCCAAGGCTACCTACCCATGAAGTGGGAACCAGAGCTTAGATCAACATCATTCCAAGGAAATCACAGAGGTACGCAAGATAATAAATAAACCACTGATATATCCATAAGAACACAAAACAATACAAAAGAAGTAGAATCATCTGTAGTTCAAGCTATTTCTACACATATCTAGAGGGGTCTAAACACAGTCACAAGCCAAGACGTCACCGATCCCTAAGGGCTAAAAGGGTCAAAAGGATGGTTTCTCCCAATTTGCATCGATGCGACACCGAAAGATTTAAGATTTACATACATCGAACAAGATCATGGATATCTCTGTAAAAAATGACAGTGATGGCTCTCTGATTTGGGGTCACCGCCCCGGCCCACTAACGTCGAGAAAGAAATCCCGCCAGAACAACTTTTCCTTCAACCATCTCATCTGCACCCATGGCCCGCCATGGGAAATTTAAGGCCCGTACCAGGCGGGCACCAGTGGGCAGAGGTATACTTCATCTGTCTTTGATTACATTATACTTCGTTGAGACTAATTATCCGTAGACCCATCGCCACACCAGTTTACCATGCAGCAAGAAGCTCGGAACACTGAAAGCCACCAGCGATCATGGTCAAACGCCCTCCGCCACAAGGCCGTCAATTTCGTGAGCGCAGGAAGTCTGGAACCAACCCTGGAACAGGAAGATGAGGACCAGAAGTCCACCAGAGACGCATCAGAACCAATGACCGACAATCCACTCGACCATAGGGTAGATGACCCCGAGGTTCCCTTCTTTTTTGATTCGCAAGGGCAGGAAGTTGCCAACACAGGGCACCCGGACCCAACACTGCGACTTGAATTGTCAGATTCCGACGACTCGAGCGAAGACGAAGTTGTGTTCACTGGTCGGAGGAAGAACATCAAACCCGTTGTTATTGAAACAAACCAGCAAGAGATTCAAGGGATGGTGCAGCCGGCCGCTGCCGAATTGTCTCAAACATTATCTAAACTGGTGGTTGAACCTGCACACCGTGACCTGCCACCTGTTGCCAACGACGAAGACGACGCAGAATCCGACACAGACAAACCAAACTGGCCACCAGAAACAGACATCGACCCAGTAGCCGACTACATCGCCAACATAGACAGCGAATACCACGCAGAAATTATCAAGGGAACAAGCGCCGATCTCCAGGAGGCCATTGACGTTGAAAAAGCTGCGACGCAGTTGGACCTGTCGGCCTCTAGCCCCGCTGGCTTCCAAAGAGAGTCACCAAGATCATTACCCGCAGACAATCAAACCAATACCTACAAGGCCGAGGGCTCAGTGGATGGTAAGTCTGAACCACGCCTCTTGTCAAGGCGTATGCTGACATGCAGGTATCCAGTGCTGGCTCAAATGCAACTTGACACAGAACAAGAATCAGGCACGATATCGAGTGAAACTGACCAGGATGAAAAGGAAATGTTTGATGATTTGAATTCTGATGATGATTTGGATGATTTTATACTGCTCGAGGACCTAGCGACCGGGTATTCCAAGTCAGGTAAGAAAGGCGCCCGGTCTGGAAAGCCCTCATTCCCTTCAGCATCGGCATTCGCAGATGCCCTTGACTCCGATCCTTACTTTGGGTTTGATATCATGGACTTTGATCGACCGAGCCTACGGAAAAAGCCCAAGGGCAAGCAAGTCATCCCTGAGCTGGTGCTATCCGACAGTGAATTTGAGATTGAGCTGCAAGAAGCCTGGCAAAACGACAGAAGGAAAAAGAAGCTGAGAAAGAAGGAGCGAGAAGAACTGCGAGCGCAAGGATTACTTGGCAGAAAACCAGGGAATCCAGACCTCAAAGCCAAGTATTCCAAGGAGATGAATATGGAGCAGTTCATGAACGAGCTACGATCGTTTCTCCTGTCTCCCAAAAACAGGTTTGTCTACACCATTTCAACTGTTACTAGGCCTAGCTAACTCCATTGAAGCCTGGCATTGCCACCCATGACCAAACAACGCAGAAAGCTGATACACGAGTTGGCCAATGCACTGAATTTGAAATCACAGTCACGCGGTCATGGAATGGATCGGTTCCCTGTTCTAAACAAGACCGCGCGTACTCCTACATACACCCCCAAAACCATTTCCAACGTCGACGATCTCTTGTCTGGGACGAAGTTCAACCGCCGGCTGTTCAGATCATGGGGCACAGACCCACCAAAATCATTCAAAACCAAACGATCTGGGGGAGCTGCAACCTATATGGAAGGCGATGTGGTTGGCGCTTCTGCCCCGGAAATTGGAGCCGGAAACCGAGGCCGCGCCATGCTGGAAAAGATGGGATGGAGTACAGGTACTGCTCTCGGAGCTTCCAACAACAAGGGCATCTTACAGCCCGTTGCCCACGTTGTCAAAAACTCCCGGGCCGGGTTAGGCTAAACATGGGCTTTGTGCATGCCTGGAAGGGATTTTTGTTTTACCCAACCCAGATTTGAGCGACACGACTCCCCTCGATAGACTATATACAAATTGAGGCCAAGTTCTGACCTCTACAAAATCACCCGTGGCCCAATATTTGCACGTATGGTATACTTGCACCAGAAGGTGACATCTAACGTTTCTTGCCCTTCTGACTAACAGTCCCCGACAATGGCTGTGCATGGTCCTCTCTTTTGATATGCTCAAACAGCTTAGACTTGGAAGCGAAGGAATCTTTGCACTTTGCACATACAAAAGCCATAGATTGATTTGTTTCCTTGGCGGCCTTTTTAGCCCGTTTCTGTTTGGCCTTGCCAAGCTTAGGCGCCAATGACTGCTCGATGATATCAGAAGCGCACAGTTGATCAGACAGTGCGGTGACGGAATCTTGTGTTTCTCCTGACAGAAGACTCATATCAGATTGTAGTCTGGTTTCGATGGATTCCCTCGAAGCGTAATCTTCGTCCTCTGTGGCCGGGGGAGAGTCTTCAACTGCATTCGGGTCGGACGTTGATGCCTCTTTTAGGCCAGGCAAGCTTTCCTGCGCCCCAGTATCACGGTCGGAACTGATACCTGCCTCTTCAAGTCGAGAACAGAGTACTTCAACGTCGGCCGGGGGGGATATATCATCCCCCACCTCAAGAGGTTGAGTTGTAACTGCATTGGCTCTTGAGCCATCGGTGGACTCTAAATCTAATTGATCATTCTGCATTCGCATCTCCCAGCATAGTTGCTTGACAGCCTTGACGTGCTTTTTACTGCGTTCGTGGGCCTCGTATTGCTTTTGACTTTTGAAATATTTGTGACATGCCACACATTCAAAACTTTCAACCTCGCTCTCCTCGCTCTCACTGTCGTCTGCCTCTGGTTGCTCCGATTGCGCCCATTCTTGAAGGACATGATCACGCATCTTGGCCTGGTTAAGCGCTCGTGATTTCGCTGCTTGCGTAGCCACAGACTGGCGGAGAGTCTCCTGGCGTTGGGCTTCGCTCTGGGCGTTGGCTTTGTATCGGGGATCACGTTTCTTGACGAAGGCCACAAGGGACCTGACCGCATCGTTGAATTCTCGAATACCTTCATCACGGAGGCGCTTATTTTCTTTTTCCATCAATCGTCGCACCCGGCGATCAGGCGCCTCAGAGAGACGATAAGCATCCCTCCAGGCAAAGGACTTTTGGGTGGAGAATCCACTCCAAGCGGCATAGAACGGCCGTACAACATTTTCAAAATCATCATCACAAGATCCAAATGCTGGATATTCAATAGGATCTTGAGCCTCCCACTGGCAAGCAAGCCTTTCCTCCAACGCAAGCTGTTCGAATTGCTCGCGAAGACCACCGAAGAACCCAGTTGGGGCATCGGAGAATTCCATTCGAGGACTAAACTTCGAAAAGAGCTTGAGGACATCATCAGTGGTTGTAATTCGAACATTGTACGAGTGTTGATCATCGGCACCCCCGCTTGTCCCCAGGAAGGCATCACTATGTGAGTCGTACCATGCTCGCTCCTGGGGATCTGCGAGTACCTCATAAGCAGATTGAATTTCTGCAAACAGTTTGGTAGCCTCTTCAACATTGCCATAGTTTCGATCTGGGTGCAGCACGAGGGCCTTTTTCCTGTATGCTTTCTTGATTCTGTGAAGACGGACAATTTTTTAGTCGCGGGATATGACCACTTAGTGTGTAAACGTACTCATCGTCGGTTGCAGCCCGTGTTACCCCTAGTAGCTCATAGTAGTCGGTCTTTTGGCCTTGCTGCTCTGAGGCGTCAGAGCTCGCCTGGCTGGTTGAATGGAATTGGCCCATGGTCCCGGGGGTGGTGGGGGGAAGAAATGCAAAGGATAACAAGGTCAGATGTGAAGAGAAGTGTAGGAGAGATAAACAACGTATCCTGCCAGAGCTTCAAGGTCTCGTGTCTATCAAGAGGAGACCTCAAAAGCCCTGAAGCTCGAAGCTCGAATTGTTGAGGGGAGGAAGAAAAACATAGAGGCTTGGCGCATCACCTTATCAAGGAACTGCCGTCAAGCATCATCTTCTTTGATCCCTAGGAAATGTGACCTTGCCTTTCTCCATCTTTCCCTCAAACATCCATTGTCAACTTCTAGGGATGGTTTGGTCTCTCATTCATATTCCAGACGAGATCCTGAGTTCAATCCTACGTGATTGCCCTCCCCAGACCTGTGCCGCCCTCGAACAAACCAACTCTCGATTTCAAAATGTGACGAACGAGCCTTTACTGTGGCGTTACTATTGTCAGTCGCATTACAAGTTTTGGGATAGGCATCATGATATGCCTCACAAGCTTCTTTGTCCAGTCTCATCTATTGATTGGAAGGCGCTTTTTGTGTCCAAGTATCAAGTCGATCGCTCGGTCACTGGGCTTCTCGGGAGCATCCTCGCTAGTCAAACGGGCCGCATCGAAAAGTTTCGCTCTGTGATAGATATGGGGTACGATGCCAAAGACACTCTTTTGCGGCATAGTCTGGTGGCATCCGGGGATGATCATCTGGCCAGAAGGTGGGCTACTGATCCTGTGCAATTGGCATTTATTTCCGTCGAGTTGACCGGTGCTTTATGGCAACCTAAAGGTATTATGCTCGCGCTCTCTTGACTTGTCTCCATCGGAGCATCGCAGTGCCGGAGTGGGCGAAACTCAGGCGCGGGGAGCCGGTGTCACTTGACCGAGCCTTGGGCTGCTTTGATCTCTTCATACCTGAAAGCGGATATGGGGACTTGGACGACGTGAGTGCGATCCTTGTGTTCTTTTACTGTTCACCTGTATCTGACTGTGATTTCCAAAGATACGAGGCTCGCTTGGTGGGATTCTTGATCGCTTCGTCGCAGATCATCTAGATCTTTGTCTCACTCCTCGCCAAAAAGCCCTGGCTATTGCATCCTGGCTAAGGGCGAACAACCTTACAGGCCTCGACCCAGACCGGGAATACCACTCTCTGGAGCATAATTTCCTGGGGCTAGCTCTAAAGAATGTTGGACACAACTCTCTACCGTTGATATCAGCTGCGATATATTGCTTTGTTGCGCAGGGAGTGGGCCTCAATGCTAGTCCTTGCGGGTTTCCTTTCCATGTCCATGTCATAATCACCCCCAGGTCGGGATTTGACATGGATGGGCGTTCTTTGTCTAACATGGATCAGGGGCAGCCCATGTACTTGGACCCATTCCGAGGCGCACGAGAAACTTCCGTTTCAGATCTGCGCAATCAACTAAGCTTCCTCGGAATGTCCAACTCGGACCAATCAACCGCACTTGGCGAGTCTCTAACGTCGTCGATTGTCTTGCGCTGCGGCAAGAACATTCTGAACTCCGTCCGTATCGCATCTCAAAATCCCGACTTGCATTCTACTTCAGTAGATGCCGTGAGTGCAAGATATGCTGCACTTTGGTCGGTGATGCTCCTATCGGGTGATTCAAGACCGACGGATCTGCGTCATCAATTGCCATGGCTGATGGAGCTTTTCGCTACTGATTTCCCTTCGGACTTATTTCTCATCGAACAATACATTGCTCCTCTGTTCCACGGCCTATTTGAGTATGAGCATATTCTAGAAAGCCTCCACGTGATGAGGGCCGTGGATGAGATCCCAAAGCAAGTTCATACCCGAACTGGTACCAACGCAAACATTCGATATACTGTTGGTCAGGTTTTCTACCACCGTCGCTATCATTACAGGGCTATCATCACCGGCTGGGATTCCGAATGCGGTGCGGGTGAACAGTGGATGATGAGGATGGGCATTGACCGATTACAGGCTGGCAGGCACCAAAGTTTCTACCATGTTCTGTAAGTGTAATAATCCAACGTCTCCCTTCGGGGGCTAACCATATCTAGCGTGGAGGATCGAAGTGTTCGATATGTGGCTGAGGAAAACATTGAACTTATTAAACCTCACCTAACGGAACTGCCACAGAGCCTGACCGCTATTGCGGGCAAGCATTTCAAACGGTGGGATGAAAGGGGTAGGGTTTTTATAAGTAATGTGAAGGATGAGTATCCAGATGACTAATCCCCGGCCCTTGTGCCCACCAGGGCAAGTGGACATGGTACCTATCTATAGTCCAGGATCTAGCACAATGCGTATGTACCCGTCAACACCTACATGCGTCATATTATTATGTATCAGGGGTCCTATCCTAACACAGATATAGATATAAACCAATAGCTATAAGGCCTAGGGTGAATTTGTATAGTATATATGATACAGGGCTGCTGGAGGATGGCTGATGTCCTAATGGGGAAACCGGTGAATACAGGGGTCCAAGATGATTGGACGAAAGCGTAGTAGTTATACTGGCTTCCTGGCGTCTCTCCTGTTCTCTTTTTCCCTTCTCTCTAGCTTAGTGTCTCTTATTGAATGAACACCGTTTCTTCGACCTTGCCGACTCACTATATAACCCTATTTTGAAGGATATATTAGCTAGAGATTATAGCTACTAAGGACTTATATATGCGTTCAGTTTAGACTACGACAATGCCATCCACGATGGGGCGTAGGCATTTTGGCTAAGGGAATGTCCGCCTATTTTTATATAAAGTTACCTAAAATATACGTATAACCTGCTAATTTATTAGGATAATTACTAATTTTTACCTATACAACCCTATGTTCTATATTCGATCTTACCATTATATAAAAAGCTATATAAAATTATGTAAACTAATCTAGTTTAAAGTACTGGTGTTTTTAATACTCATCCTTATCTTAATAAACTATACACTTTTATAGGTAGTTTCTCTAGTATATAGTTAAAGTCGTTTATTATAGAAATATATTTTTAGATATAGTAACGTTATCTTATAATTAATTAGAAGTGTTAACTAACTTCCGAATTCTAAACTAGCTATTTATTAAAGAAGTTATTTAATAAGAATAATTGATTTATATTAATATTGTAATTCCCTAATATAATAGTACTATATTTACTATAAGATGTTATCTTAATCTTTATCTAGGATACTTTATATATAAAATATTTTTTTTATTAACTCCGTAGGGTATTAAGGTTAGCTGATTTTTTAAAATAATGCCTACCTTTCGGTAGTGTACATAGGCACCCCTATAGGTATTTTACTCTTTTAAACTAACCAGCGTATTATACTATAGTAAGTCTATAACTTATTTTATAATAGGTTACCTCTACCTCAAATTACTGCCCCTAATACTAGTAGGTCCCTATTTACTATCTTTGTTAAGATTAATTAGTTATTCTAAGATACGCACTCTAATATTTTACTTTTTTGAAGTCTCTATATACCTTTATCTCTTATATTTAGCTAAGCCTTATCTTAGTTTTATTATATCCTTATAATTATAACGCTAGGATTTTATTAGTACTTATAAATAACTATCTAGTCCTTTCCTACCTATCTAATACTTCTTTATCTATACTATAAGCTTTATATATACTATAAGCTTTATCTATACTATAAGAAGAGTGGTACTATAAGAAGAGCGGTACTAATATAATAAAGGGCTATCTGAATATAGATTAATACAGATATTGGTCAAAAGTATTTACCCACTACCCCACTTATATTTGACCCGGCAACTAACCCACCTTTTTATTTTTCTTCTACACCTCCCCTAGGCATCCGATTTTAATGGAAATTGGCCTAAAACGTAGGGAAAATGCTAAATTAAGCCCTAAGCAAAGGTTAGCTATTGTCTACGCTTATAAGGGTGGTATTTCGTAGTCAAACCTAGCTAATAATTGTAGCCACATTCGTAAGACTGTCTATAATATGCTTAAGCGCTTCGAGGAATATAAATCGATTAAGTCGCCTCCTCGAACTAGCTGTCTTCCGAGGCTAGACTCTTAAGCTTACTAATTTCTCTATTTATAAGCTCGCCGGCACCTATTTTAGATATATAAATAGCTTAGTGCTACGATATCTAGTTATCCATCTTAGTCTACTATATAGTGAGTTTTAAAGCAATTTAGACTTAGAAAACGGCGTTTAAAAAGGAAGATACTAATTAGGCCCTCACTTATAAGGAGGCAGCTAATATTTACGAGAAAATAGTGGCGGGAAAGCTTTTTAATTATAGATATTTTTAGATAAGTGTTCGTATAATAAATCTTAAATTTTAGACTATGATAGTGCTTTCGTACGGTCTTAGAGGGCCTTCGTAAAGACCTTATAAATACGAAAGTATACGTTAAAGGTATTTTATGAGTAGTTTAGGCTAGAATCTAGCTAGGAGATCGAATATATTTAATAATTATCGAATAGTACGAAGAATCGCCTTTAGGGAGGGGTTATACTATAAAGTCGTATATTTTGACGCTTAAAAAAGGTCTAATGCTAATCTACACCCATATTTTAGTATTTTAGTAAGATAACGTAAGGATTTATCTAGCGAAGGATATAAAAGAGTGGTTTAAAACTAATAGAGTATACGTCGAAGACTAGCCCGCGTACTTACCTAATTTAAAATTAAACTAGTATGTTGAGATTCATGGCTTGCTCAGGCATCTCCAGGCATTAAATGCCCGCTTCGCCAATACATGAAGCTCATGATCAGCATTCAACCTACCATGTATAGGATAGTTCAGGGGAAATGCTTCACATTAAATAGGATCTCTCCTTCATGAAGGAGAGATCAGACTTAAACCATCTCGTTGGTTCTTGGCAAGAGCTTCCTAGCATCATTCATCGTATTCTCCATTCAAATTTTAACATAGTATAACGCTAGTTAAAATTAAAGCTTTTTATATTATTTATGGAGCTTATTAGTAGGAAGATCGGAGGTATACTAGCATTATTTTAAAAAATACCTAGTAGAAGCTTAGAAGGTATTAGACTAAGTAAAGATATACTCTAATATTAAGTATAGATAGACGATTAAAGGTAGTGCGGAAGGCTAAGGGGTATTACATAAAATATTAAGCAAATTTTCGAAAGTGCTAGTATTAAGCAACCCTAAAATTTAATTATATTATTATACACCATAAAATAGTGGTGCTATATACTATGTAAGTGATATGTATATTTTGAGAGGGGACCTGAAAAAGTGGAGCGGGTAAATACTTTTTAACGGGTATGTATTAGAAATAATCCAAGAGCCTATTAAACTAAGGTTAATTTGAGTGATAATAAAATACAATAAGTATTATCTTTAACTTTCAAATTACTCACTTCTACTAATAATTATACTTACTAGGCCCTTAATCTATTACCCTGACTCTATTCTCTACTAATAAATAAGAACGAGAGTAGATCGAATTTATTACTGCTCTTAATATTTACTTTTAAAGCCTTTCGCGAATAAAAATTTATATTTCTAATTAAAATAGCATAATAATCGCTAACTACACCTACTATCTTTTATCTACGAACTACGTAGCGCTAGCTTAAAAAGCTTATCTCTAATATATAAGCGTTAGCCTATATTCCCTTCGCGTAACCTAGAGCTAGGAGATAATTTCTATACTTATAAAGGTAGATTATCTACTCTATTTCTTAATTATATACATTTACTCTCTATTAGATTCGTAGTCTTACTATATATCTTAGCTATAGCCCCTAACGTCATGAAATATTTCTAAGCCTTTAAATTTTAGAATTAAGGCTTATTCTAATATAAGATATCCGGATACGTTAGAATTCTATATTTTTATACTTTATCTACTAAGCGTATATTGAAGTACTTTAATATATACTACGATTGTATTAAGCGACATGATTTTTAAACTTAGTAAGATATAGTAGCGGTAGACCAATTACCTTCAGATATAGTAGCGGTAGACCAATTACCTTCTCTTTATTACTAAGCCTTTATATATATTTACTACTAGCTTAATAATTATAGAATAGGATAAAGAATCGGCTTTAGGGAGGGGTTATACTTTAAAATTGTACCACTCGAAAGAGACCTAATACTAATCTATACCCTAATTTAGTATCTTAGCGAGGTAACGTAAGGATTTATCTAGTAAAAGATATAAAAGAGTGGTTTAAAACTTCTAGATTATACGTCGAAGACTAGCCCGCGCTCTTATCTAATTTAAACTAATTAAACTAGTATAGCGCTAGTTAAAAGTGAAGTTTTTGCCTTATTTCCGGAGCTTATTAGTATAGGAAGATCGGAGGTAGACTAGTATTATTTTAAATAATACCTAGTGGAAGCTTAGAAGGTATTAGTTTAAGCAAAGATAGATACGCTAATATTAAGTGTAGGAAGGCGTTTAATAGTAGTGCGGAAGGCTAAGGGGTATTGTACAAAATATTAAGCGAATTTTTGGAAGTGCTATAACTTAATTATATTATTATAGACTATAAATGGGTAGTGCTCTATACTATAAAATTGATATATATATTTTGAGGGGAAACCTGAAAAAGTGGAGTAGGTAATAACATTTAAAGGGATATATATATTATCTTCTAGTTCTAGTATAGGTAGAGTTTTACTATTATTTCGCTAATACTATTCTTAAAATAGGGAGACAAGAAAGATATTATATAAATAGGAGTATTATTCTAGTAGGGCTACCTAGCGTATATATTTCCTAACTGCATTAAGTATTTAGAATGATCTAATAAAATTAAGAGTAAGCTTCTTTAATAGGCTTTTTAGGTAGAGGTTTATAGTAATAGGGCCACTAAATACCCTTTTTAGAATGATATTAATTTATAGCGTTTAATATAGTATTCCGCCTATAATTTACTTACTTTCCGCTATACTTCTTAAAGTTTTCTATATAATTCTTATAACTTTTCTAGGTATACTATAGTTACTAGGACTTATTCCCTCGAAATATTCTCTTTAGTACGTAATTAAGATTTAGACTATAGCTATATAGCTCTTTTAAAGCATATAAGTCCTATTATAAAGCGTATAATATTATTAGTAGCGAATCAAGCTATAAGAACAGGGGTTAGCTAATTAATTTATTCTATATTAATAAAGTATTAAAGATATCTCTATACTTAATTTATGCATTCCGTGTCGCTATTAGTTTATAGATAAAATACTAAAAATCTTAATTTAATATAGCTTAGCCA